GCTCGCCACACCCCCGGGGACCCGTCCGCCACCCGGCGCGCGGCATCCCCGCGCCGTGCGTGCCGCCCTCCTCCCCGCGTTCTGGGCAGCCGCCCCGCCACCCCGCAAGGCCCCAGGCGAGCCTCGGACAGTCAGCCCGGCGCTTCTGGAACCCCGCCGCTGGCGGACAGGAGCTGGAGCTGAGAGTAAACAACCAGCTTGCGTGTAGCTCGCGGAGCGTCGAGGAGGCGGCGCCGACCCTCTGGGTTTTCCAGACTTTTGCCGCCCGCGGAAGTCGCGGGCCCAGGCACGCGTCCGGAGAAAAAGAGTGGGGGGCGAGAAGCCGGCTCGCGCCTGGTCGGGAAAATATCAGGGCCACTGCGGGAAGGTGCGAAAAGAGGTGGAGATGACGAAATGGACTGCGGAGAGCCTTGCGTCACAGAGCCCTGAAGAGAAAAGAGCTTTTTCCGTTCCCCTCACTGGTCTCAGACGGGAGCGAAGGAGTGAAATAATTACAGTGGAGGACATTGCATTAGGAGCACTGCAGACATTTGGCGATGATTTTTCTCTTAGGAGCTTGAAGGTGTTTGGAGACATTCTTCAGGCTCCAGGCCTATTAAGTAAGCTAAGTGGCGGTGACATATTCTTATAATTGCTTTAAGTGCAGATCGGAAATCAGAAGATGCCATACGATGGCCGGCTGTGCTCCAAGAGCTACTAAGAGCAACCCCTTCGGGTTCCTCTGGAGGGAAAATACCTGTATAGTTTTTCACATAGGTGTGTCCACATACACAGTCCAGCTTTCACTCCAGGGTTTCAACGTGCAGTAAGTGAATACAGTCATCTTAAAAAATCATATGATCATCTTTTGTGTAACCCTTCTGCATTCACACACCAAGGCACCTACACCCTTCATGATAACTGAGTACTTAGGGCAAGCCCGTTCGTCCTTACACCTTGGGGATCACCAGGTCCTGGCTGAGGAAGTTGGTTTTGGGTAATTTCCATAGACCTCAGAGAAGAAGTTCCCAGAGGGTCTACCCTGGATCTATTTGGAGCTTTAATAGCTTGCTTTTCCCTAACCATAGACGACTATTGAATAAGCGTTCACTAATTCAGGGTCAGAGAGTTCTGGATAGAAGTCCTGATTCTGACACACATCTGTTGTGTCTGTTCATCCAGAGTCACTGTGTTCATTTGTTGATCTGTAAAACGGTAATACCCCAGCCCAGAAGGAAGAAGGAAAAGTCCTGGTGGGGAGGGGCGGGGGAATCGAACACTTGTGTTGATAACTGGGTGCCTCTGTTTCAAAGCACTTGTGATCTCTAGATTATGAATTCATTGCCAATGCCTCACGAACTAAGCCCAAACAAAGTAGGCTTTATACAATTACAGAGGAGTTTATAACAGCTTCTGCCACAGGCCCAGAGGGGAATGTCACTTCAAAAACAAATGTAACCCATTTAATGAGATGATTATTTTATTATAGTTTCAAACTAGTGGATTATTATAATTTAGTTGACTAAGAATCGAAGCCATCCAAGTTGCAAAATTAGGAAAAACGACAACATTCCTCCTCATTTATCAAACTTGAAACATGGAAGAATTACCAGATCATTCACACACAAACATGTCATTTTTTTTTTAAACTAAGCATCTCTAAAGGTACAGCTTATGTTCAAATTATAGAATGGTAGGAAACAGTTTACAGGTGGATGTTGTTTCAGTCGTTATACTTCTGAGCTTCTTTTGTACAAACAGAGGTGATTGTGTTCCTTTAATTTTTTGTTTTGAGTCATAAATGTGAGAATGCTGTCCGTAATACCAGCCAGTCGATGGCTATGAACCTGATCCGTATACAAATAACCAGCAAAGCCTTAATGTTCAGTTTTAGTCCCAAAGAGACAGCAAAACATCTTCGCCATATTTGAGTGTTCTAACGTGATTATGCTGAGCCATATCTTTGTTCCGACAAACATCATAAGGAAAATACTGTTTCACCGCAAAGCACTATGTGTTAAAGCCAAAAGATGGAGACGACTTAGACTGACACAGAAGACGTAATATGGATAACGTCGGGGAAAAAAACACATACTAATTAAACGACTTCCTTAATGCGCACTCAAATGGTGATGAGTGTGAGATGCTGACGGCAGAAGGTAGGGATGGGTGTGACAGCCGGGTTTTCAAAATACTCCTCCGGGTCAAGGTGGATTCCTGGAGGAATTCTAGAATTCTAGAATGAAGGCAGAGAAAGGCTTAAGGAAAACTTAGAAGGAATAAATCCCAGGGTAAAGGTGATCGCGGATCCACAAGAGGTGGAACATGAGCTGAGTGACAGAAAGGTGAGGTGTCGAGCAGCTGAGGTCACCGAGGCCAGCCTGATGAAACGTCGCGCAGCACTTTCCAGGCCCAGAAGAAGAGTGGCTCCCGCAGCATCTGGTGCGGCCGTGGAAACACAAGCGGGACCATCTGCGTGTCTCTCTCCATGAGTTTGGAAATGGGGAGCCCGCAGATGTTTCCCGGTAAAGTCATGGATGGGATGGACCTATGCCCGAGCCATTTAAGATTCTGTGCTTCTGTGCTTTCTGGTAGGGTAGCCATTTGCCACATGAGACCACTGAACACTGGCGACGTGGCAAATGGGAATTAAAATGTGCTGTGCATTTAAAGTAAATGCCGAGGGTGCCTGGGTGACACTGTTGGCTAAGCTTTCAACTCTTGATTCCAGCTCAGGTCAGTATCTCATGGTTCATGGGATCAAGCCCCAAGTCAGGCTCCGTTCTGAGTATGGAGCCTGCTTGGGATTCTCTCTCTC